CAGTGATGTAAAAGGGAGATAATAAACCTGGAACCAAACCAGTAGGTTTAGATGAGATATTGGGGAGAAATTCCTGGCTGTGAGGGTGGGCAGGCCCTGGCACAGGTTGCCCAGGGAAGCTGTGGCTGCCCCTGGATCCCTGGAAGTGTCCAAGGCCAGGTTGGACAGGGCTTGGAGCAACCTGGGCTGGTGGAAGGTGTGGAATGGGATGATTTTTAAGGTTTCTCACAACTCAAATCATTCCATGGATCATTGCACTGTTGAAATGAAATCATGAAGGGTGTTGTGCTCCTTGTGACAACAGGAGACAATGAAGGATCCAAAGCTCCTTTGCTCTTCTGCATTTCCAGGATCAGCCAAAAGGCTTCAGATAAACACATCCCATCAGCTGCTGGGAGGGGCCAGCATTTCTGAAAAACCCCTTTCTAAGCTCTTTGTTTCTCAAGAAGGGGAGAAGGTTCAGGACTAAACATGTTTTTTTCTCGTTTGCTTGTGATGAATAACGACTGCATTACACACACAACATAAACACACACACACACAATATATATATGTATACAATATGCTCCATTGTAGCTGCACAGTGAACCACTGCCTCAGACACAGGAGCTGATCAACACCCAGCCAGTCAGGCTGGTAAAAATGAAAACATTTAAAAGGACATTTAAGAATATCACAGCCCCCTTTTACAAACTAATCTCAAGATCTCTGCTCTCCACTCGGGTCCCCCTGTAAAGATTTTCCATGGGGTGAATGCAGCAACCTTGAATGTGCAGAAACCCTTCCTTGCTGGCTTTGCTCCAAAACAATGACTGCACCAAAGGGGCTGAGGCATATCCTACCAATGGAGCAGAAAATTGCTTCAAGGCTGCAGCAGTAACACCTTGGCAAAGCCTGTAATTAGCAATAAAGCAGCACCCATGGCCAATGGGGCCATTGTGCCCCGTATTCCATTTTGCTCTTTGGTGCAGAGGGGAAACGTGTGTGTGAGCGAGAATGAGAGCACAGAGGTAAATCCCCCCATCCAGGAGGCTAATGATGAATGTGCTGCAGTTGGCATGAAGTGGAACACGTGCCAAGATGGGGCCCTCTTGTTCCTTCCAGTCCCCCACCTACATTCTCCCAAACACCACATTATATTTTTAGCATTTTTATTTTCTTGGAAAAATATATAAACTGCAGTTATAAAATGTGTTTAAACAAATGAAATGGAGCTAGCAGGTGTACAAAACGGCCCAAAATGCTTCCCAGAGCTGCAGTTAAAAAATAAAAAAAAGTAAACTTAAATAGTTCCATAGTGGAAAAAAAATAATCTCTAGGTAGAGTATATAAATGTAATTTTTCTTTTTTTTTTTTGCACTGTACACTCAGTTTCATTTTTGACTCCTAAAACTTGCCTAGACTTACTCTTGGTTTAGATCTTCACTTCTCATCCAGATTAAAGGGGTTAACAAATGATAGACCAGAGGTATCACTGCTGGAAATTCAGAGATCCCAGAATCCCGGGCTGGGTTGGGAGGGACTTAAAGCCCATCCAGTCCCACCCCCTGCCACGGGCAGGAACATCTCCCACTGTCCCAGGTTGCTCCAGCCTGGTCTTGGACACTTCCAGGGATCCAGGGCAGCCACAGCTTCTCCCAGCACATCCCATGGGCAGCTGATCTGCAAAGCTGAGACTCTTTTCTGTTATTTACTGGTTTTATCATCTCCACGTTGAACCTGGAGAAGACTTTGGCTCACTTTGACAATTATTTCTATTAATTTTTAGTAGAATAGGTTGCATTTACCAGCTTAATCCAAACTGAAGGACTGCTGGCAGTGCACAGAAAAATAAAAGTCATCATCATAGAGAGATTTGTATGTGTGTGTGTGTGTGTGTGTAGAGAGAAGATGTCAGTCCAAAATAATTCATAATCAAAATACACCATTTGCCAAGAGACAGGAGGCTGTACAAAGAGAGAAAATAATTCATTCTAAGTAGAGCTGGAAATAGGGTTTTGTGTTGTGCTTGTGCTGCCTGTTTTGGGGGAAATCCGATAGGAAAGAGACTGTCTGGGGGGTTAAAATTCAATGGATTCTGATCTCTCTTTGCCCCCTGAAGGCTCAGAGGGGTCAATACCTTGACTTTTGGGCAGGGCCCATCACCAGCTCTTTGTAATAATTGCTGAGCAATTTTAGCACAGAGAAGGAAAGTTGGGCTTTCATTTGACATGAAAAGTGACATTTTTTACACCTGGCTCTGAACCTTTTTCTCTGCCTACCCAAATTTTGGTAAACTTTCGATTCTCTACCAGTCCTGCAGCCAACTTTCTTTCCAGCAATCAAGAATAGCAAAAATACATTATTTTTAAATTAAACAAACTCTGACTTATTTCCATGAGAAATTACTGAGAGCGCAGCAAAATGTATCACGTTCATATTTCCAATCTTTCAGAAACAGTTTGGTTCTCTAAGTAGGATTTTTTTAATGCATAAATTTCATGCAAGATCAAAATTTATTAAAACAATTCTCCCATCTCTGCTCATTTGCTTTAGCAACTAAGATTTCCTCTTTAGCTCTGATGGAAGTGTTATAACAATTATTTTCTCTGGAATACGGCTCACAAATAAGAAATGATTTATTAAACATAGTTATGATTTCTATTGTCTTGACAAAGTAAAACTAATTAATCTGAAGTATATTCTGGATTAATCTCGCCCTGAGATGTTTGGTTCAGATCCTCAGTCCTGATGACTTTATTGAACACCCAGAGTTCCTCTGCTTTGTTAATTGGGGTGGATTCTCCAGCCTCGCTCCATGTGCTGATGAGGGTGTTAATCCTCAGTGCTGATGAATCCACATGGATAGACTATTCATAGTTTTCTTTTAATGGGACATTTTCCTCTGAATGGGCAACTCATTCCATCACTGCTCTACAGAGCTGCAGACCTGCTTTAAATCTCTCCCTGCTGGATGGCTGTGAGCGTGATATGAGTTGTGGGAGTTGCTGGGGACTCATCTAGAACCGGAGGAGGAAAAGAACTGGAAAAAAGGAAGGGATGTTTGAGATACAGAGCTCCTGCCTGCACAATGAGGCAAAGGCAATTTAAATTAAAACATTTCTGAAGGGCTGTTGAAAATGGTTTGGAGAGCTCTTCCCATCTCGTGTAACATCACCATTATTCCAAGCTTTTTTGGTATCCTCATCTCTGACCAGAATTACAACCCCAATTACCAGCAATTACTTCTTAAAGGCTGAAATCAATCCAGTTCTGTTCTAACAGCAAGGGACTCTGGGAAAAGCTATTTTAAACTCAAGATCCACGTGTGGTGTGAAGTTTATAATGGTTTGCAGGGAGGCTGCTCAGAGGGCTCTGTATTTGAGCCCGTCCCTGTGCACAGACAAGTGAATTCTTTTCAAACAAACAGGGTGGAAATTCTTGGCTTCTCCAGGAGCCAGCCTTATTTCCAGAGGATCGTGGTTTGGATTCCCATCCTGCCCTTGGCATTCCAGTTTTTCCCCCCTCTTGCCACAGCTAGATTCTGTTTGCTGTTTCTGGACCGAGGCGCTGAACAAGATCCTGGTGCCTCAGGTAGGCGATGTTTTACCGTGGAGGGAGAAATCCCTGTCTGAAGGCAGGGAATGGAACCTCCTGGCTAACAACTGGCAGACCTACAGGAAAGGAACTGAGCTGCCTTCAGTAGGTAACTTATTAATGGCTGGTGTTTAATTTCTCCGAGGTAAAACACAAGAATCTGGTGGTCCTCGCATTAGTGCTCTTAACTCCAGCAAAGCCTGCTTAGAAAGGTAGTGCTGTTTCCTTCCAGCCACCATTAAGGGCCTTGCAGATCTGCCAGAAAAAAGGGAAAATTAACCTTCTGTGGAAACCCAGCAAAAGGCCTTTTCCCCTTTAAATCATGAAAGGAGAGCTTAATGATGCATCAGCCTGCAGAGTGTGCTCAGCCAGAGGCAGGTTTGGGGGATGTCTGACTGGATGCTTTGGAGATGCTGGAGCTCCAGATTTCCTCCTTAGGACCTTCCAGGCTTATTGTAGGTGGAATAACTGCACTGCCCTCTGATTTCTGAACTTTATTGTGCTCAACGTGCGCCAGTTCCTCTGTGCTGAGTGAAAAAACAGCATCAAGGAGTGAAGGAAGAGTCAGAGACAACTGAAGTTTGGCTGACGAAATGCTCAGTGAGGCATAAATGAAAGGGTTGTGATTATTATTATGCTCAAAATGATAGTGACCAAAAAAAAAAAAAAAAAAAAAAAGGAGAAATCCTGTCTTTTCTAAGACCCTTTTAAATGCAAAGACTCATCTAGAGCCAACAGATGCATGGTACAGGATTTTCATTGGCTGGAGACCAAATTAGGGACAATGCTCTACATGAAACTTGCTCATTTGACCAATGTTATGCTTCATTTTCATCAGTGCTGTCCATGGAATATTAGATATTCTGGCAGTTATTTAATAAGGCGAATGCACACAAGGAGCCCTTTAAGGTAAAAAGTAAAATAATCTCTGTTTTCTCTTCAGGAGGTTTTGGCAAATGGGAAAAGATGGAGGAGAGGGAATAAAAAGTGTATGTGAAACAAAAGTTTTAACAGTCTGTCTAACCAATTGGTATAATTAAGTTTTACTTCAGCCCTCAGGAAACCCCAGGGAAGTTTGTGGCATCCCAGTTCATGTGCATATTAAGTAGAGGATCAGGTAACCTTCATGCAATGTTGGAAAGGGCTGGTTTTGAAGAGTTCTGGCCCCCACTTAGAGCTGTGTCAGCCTGAGGTAGCTCTGGGCTTCAGCAGTGTTGGTCCAGCACTATATTGGGCTGCACAGAGCTGGGTTTGGATTCACCAGAGTTCTCCAAATTAGAAGTGGAGGCCGTGGAAATGAAGGGAAGAACGTGAGCTAATCCAAATGGATGGAATCCCTGGCCAGACACCCTTTGGAACCAGGCACAGTGGGACAGCCCCAGGTATCTGTGAGGGATGTGTAGGGTGTGCTGTGAGAAGCTGCCTCGTGACCCTGGCACGGCTGTGCTGGAAGAAAGCAGTGCAATAAAGAGTAATCCCTTGTGACTGGCATGAAGGGTGTCTCCCAGTGAAAAAGTGGTAATGGGAGTAACCTCTTCAACAAGGGCAACATTGTCCACTCGGCAGGTTGGTTGGCAAACTGGCAATTTTTAGTTTCTTCCAAACGTGCTTATCTGCCCATTGCACCCAAATCTGCTCAGACTCAATAGGCTCAAATCCTTAAGTTTCCTAGAGCACAGGAGCCAGTCTCATATCTGCCCCCAACACTTCTTTACTACTTAAAACTATCAGTTTACACTGACATTATTTCCTCCATTCAATACGTGGGTAAATCCCCAGCTGCTGAAATCAGGCCTGTTCCACTGGACAGAATTCACGCTGGAAGCCGTTCCAAATAAAAAATTGTATTCTCACTCGAACTGGAGAGGAAAGCACGGGAGGACTCTGGGTACAAACTGATTCATTACAACTTCAGTAGGGTCCCTGAGAAGATCCCAGTTCTGTGATCCCAATCACCCCAATCTCCTTGTGTGCCAGGGAAATGAGGAGTGAGGAGAAAGGCAACTCATTTTAACATGCAAACCACTAATGAGATTCAAAGGTCCAGATTCCAACCCTTACCCCCTTTTCCCTTCTTTAGCCCTCAGTCCTCCTGAAGTCCCAAATATGATCCAGCACTTCAGGAGACAAACATTCCTATGGTGTTTTGGGAGTGCTGAGGTGGGAGATATAGATTTACCAAGGCCTTACAGCAAGGGTTGGTTTTTTTTTTTTAGCCCCCCAAACAATGCTGGTATAGAACATGTCCTCACAAAATATTCAGCCCTTGCCCATTTCCATTTTGGGCTTGCAACCAGGTGTGTCTGAGCTCTCTGCAGCAGGGTTTTACCCAGCGTGGTTCCTGGAATCAAAATGCAGTTTATCCCCATGTGTTTTCCCAGCAGCCTCAGTTCCTGGACAAGCAGTCCCTGCCTCGCACGTAAGTCACCTCCATGCTGGAAAAAACCAGAAGGACCTGCAAATAGCTCACCTCCTGTCCTCCAAAACACACAGGCATCTTTGCCTGAGTTGTTTCTCTTGGATTTCTTGGCTTGGCTGCCTCAAAAGTTTGGGGATGTGCAGACCTGGGGCTCCAGCTATTTGGGCAAAGCCAGTGGCAACGGAAGGATTAAGGTTGTGGCACCCTGTGAGCTCGCTGTTGTGTGATCCAAACTTACAGAACTGGGAGCAAACAGGACCTTCACATCAGGCCCCCCATCCATCAGTGTTCTGGTGAGGAGCAGTGAGCGCAGCCCAAGCCCACAGTGGGTGTTTCTTTAGCCCAGGTGGGAGCAGCACATTCCTGGGCTGTGGAATGTCCCGGGCTCCCTCTCGCAGGTGACTTTCTGCTACAGCAGCACTTTCCCAGCTGCTCCCTGGGAATGGCAGCAGTTTATGAATTAGCTGCTCTGTGAGAAGCTGTTCAGGCTGCTCTGCAGGGGCTCCCGTGGAGTGGGTGAGGCACCTGCCAGGAGGGCTGGCTTTGGTGTGATCCTGCCTCCTGGAAGGGCTTGGGGCTGGATGATTCCTTGAGATCCCTCCGAGCCTGGATTCTAAACATCTGTATTTTCACCCCCGTTGCATCAAATGTTTGTCTTTATTTCTTTCCCAAGCCATCACTCTCCTTGCTCCCACTAAGGAACAGAATTCCCCTCCATGCAGAGCATCAAACCACCCCACTAATCACAGAAGGGTTAAAAACATGATTGGTGGGCAAAGCCCCCCCTTTCTTCTGCAAGGTTGGTTGAAATTGTGAATCGAGACTGACAGCTTGCCTGAGTGTTTGTGGTTCAATTTGAAACCACAAGACCCAGAAGCACATGGTTTAGATTCAGTGTCTTTCTCCAGCTAACACGAACCATTTGTTCCAGCAGCTTGGCTATCTCTTGGAGAAGAGCTTTGCACCAGGATCAGCCTTGATTCACCCCAGACATTCAGATGGAAACCCAGAGAGAAAAAAAAGGAAAAAAAAATTCCTAAAAAAAGCCTTGCATTTACTTTTTTCTTATTTATTTTTGCAGCTTGTAAAGGAGCTACTAACATCCTGGTTATAAAATAAAAAAAAAAAAAAAAAAAAAAAAAAAAAAAAAAAAAAAAAAAAAAAAAAAAAAAAAAAAAAAAAAAAAAAAAAAAAAAAAAAAAAAAAAAAAAAAAGAAGAAAAAAAAGAAAAAAAAGAAGAAAATATGAAGTGCCAATCAAAAGTGGCGCCAAATTAGGTGGTGTTTACTTCAAAAATACGTATTTCATTGCCTTTTTTAAGGCAGATTCCTGTAATGTAGTAATGTCAGGGAGGGCATGGAAAGAAGAGGCTTAATTGACTCAAAAAGTATATTTAGACCAATCTTTTTAAATTTGGCTGGGTAAAAGGTGGCACGCAGTGAGGCAAAAGTTTAGTCGATGAGCTGTCACAAATAAAGCACTTAAATGTACACCAAACTCCGGGCATTGACTTCCTGAAGCCCATGAGCTTAATTATTGTCCCTGCTTCTGATGAAGAGCAGGGAGGTTGAACAGCTCTGTGTCAAGTTGGACAATGAAAGTCCAGCCCTTACGGCTTGAGAGGAAGCAGATAACACAATAAATCACTGCCTTTCACACAGCAGCACAGAGAAGGACAGAATAAAGACACACACACACCTCTCAGGTGTGCCAAAGGCTGATTTGCTTCGATAAAGTTGCTGATTAAATGCTCCCCCACACCCTGAGATGAGGGAACACCAGTCAGGCCCCCTGAGCAGGGAACTTGATGAATTATTGCGGTGAGGCAACGAACCAAGCGCTCAGTTGCCCCAAATCACAGGTATTAGGGCTGAAATGAACTCTCCTAAAACAATTTCCCATCATCCAGCCCCCGGGATTAGTTGTTTTATCTTCCTCCTCCTCGATACAGAACCGGTTCCAAGATATTACATTACAATCCAGGGAACCACCCCCTGTGCACCTTGGAAGAAGGAAAGAATCCTTCCCTGCCATGTCTCTCTATCTCCTAGTTAGGAATAAGTGACTGTAAAATCTGTGTATGTGTGAAACCACAATATATTCCCCCGTTCTGCCGTTAAAAGCCACTCACAACATAAACGTGAATCAGAGGTGGGAGTGCGTTCACTCAGGAGCAGTGTGTGATTATAAACCAGGAGTTTACTTCCAAGAACAGATTAGATTTCTGGGAATTCAAAATAGCATGTATTTTTATTTTAGTATTATGGGAATTTTGAGAGGGCTTCTAACGTTACTGCTTTTTAAGCTACTATATAATCACGGTGTAATTTTTATTAACAAAAAGACTTTATAACTTCGGGGCCGTGCAGCTGATGAAGTGAGCAGGAGGCTTTGAGGGCTGAGATCCTCTGTAGGTGTGTGGGGAGAACTGCCTGGGAAGGTTTGGAGCTGACTGGAAATGCAGGTTTAAGGTTAATCTCTGTTGTTTAAAGCATTTGGCTGCACCCAGGAGTGGAGCTACACCGAGTTAGTCCCCAGAGACACACACTAAGGGACTGACCCTGCCCTGCCACAACGTCCTGTCCCTGCTCACAGAGAGCAGAGATCCATCAGGGGATGTTCTGTCTGGAACTAAAATGGAAATCCCTCTGCAGAGGTAGAATTCCCCTTCTGTAGAGTCACACAGCTGAGGTTAGAGGGACAGTTTGGGGTCCCATCATTGATTATTTTGCTCTGGGTTCACAGAACAACAGAACATACCACGTTTGTTTGTTTGTTTGTTTTAAAGCACAGGAAGGATAAGCGATGAAACTGGTTAATTCTTCATTCTTTGAGTGTCCTGTTTCCATTTAGTGGGGTTTGTTTGCAAACTTGGCTTTGAGTGTCTGGGGTTATCAGACTCCCTTTGAGGACTGATATTATGACAAGTTACTTCTACTGCTTTTTCTATTGGGAGAAATCATGTTTGTGGAAACATGGAAGGCAGGGAGTGATAGCTCCAGGTTTAGGTTTTACTTTCCTATAAAAAAAGGCGTCTGAGCTGTGACTCCTTTGGAAATGGAATGATTTTCTGGAATACAATAACAATAAAAAAAATCAGGATGATATTTTGCAAAAATAAGATCAAAACAAGACATATTAAATTAATAATATCAAATAATATCACTTTTACCAGCATGGGAAACTTTTACTCTTAAAAAGCTGAAAGGCCTCAATGTTGGAGCTCTCAGGAGAGCACAGCAAAGTCTCCCCAGTTTTCATGGAAGTGTGATTGCCTCCTGTGGATGAGCATAAGGAGCCTGGTCTGTGACTTACAACATTTGCTAATATGAGTACAATTAGTGCCCTGCTTTGATCAGTCAAGTGGAGATTCACGGGAACCAGCCCAATAATTATTTACGAACCATCTGATCCTGGCTGTGGCCTTTCTTGTCCTGCACATGGGGCAGTTTCTTACACCGGGACGTGGGAATTCCACCTGTGGCTGGGAAGGGGCTGGAATAAGGAGCTGTGGGGATGGGAGATGGCCCAGCTGTGTGGGGGACACGGGTGGCACACGAGAGAGTCCTGCCCAGCTCTGCTCCTGCTGAGCGAGGTCAGAGGTTGAAAACTGGTGGTTAAAGTCACTGGAAAATAAAAGAGGAGCAAAGAGAGCATGAACCCAAAGCCAGGAATAATGGTTTACCTAAGATGACTGCAGCCCTCATTCTTAGGGAAGCACAGAATCATTAAGGTCGGAAAAGACCTCCAAGATCATCCAGTCCAGCTTTCCATTGTATCCCACCGTGCCCACTGAACCACATCCAACCTGCTCCAGGTCAAGGCTCCATTCTGCACATTACTGGAGCTTGTGCAGGGGGTTGGACTAGATGACCTTTGAAGGTGCCTTGCACCCCAAACTATTCCATGATTCTATGATTATACCCTGTTTCCTTGCAGGGATCTGTCTGTCCTTCACGTCACATCATTGCCCTGAGATGTGGTGGAACACTGAGCCTTACCTGAGCATCAGTGGATGTTTTATTCCAGCGTTACACAACAGGACATCTGTGTTTGGAGGGAAGGGGCATCTCCACCACTTCCAAAGGGGCAGTAAATGCAGCAGCAAAGCTGGGAAGGGACAAGGTGGAGGCTTTGAGGTTGTGCACAAGCTCCGGCCCCTGGACATCCTCTGCTTTATGGGGGTGAACAAACCCCAGGGAGGGTTCCAGGGGTGACCTCAGCCACCCCAGACACACTTGTGAGTCCAGGTTACAGCTGACTGGAAGCCTGAGGTTTTACTGGCCCAGAGCCAGTTTGAAACCCACTCGAGCCACCCCAGGATTTTATAACATTGTAAAGCCGGTATTGTTTCAAACATTTCAAAAATTCTCCACACAGGCTGGCAGCCTTCCAGAACCCTCTTAAATGAGCCAAAACTATCAGCAGCCACCCACCTTCCTGTCCATTATCCTCTGATTGATGACATTCCACCAAGAGGGTCCGACAGGCAGAATCTCTCTGCTGCAGGACCTCGGTGTAAATGTGATCTGGGAGACCTGTAAACTGTCTGCATGGTTTGCAGCTGGGTTTTATGGGGGTGTCTCTCTGACATGTGCTGACCATGCAGGAGAGGGCTCCCATGGGGTGGAGAGAGACCAGGGTTTGCAGCTTCTTGTAAAACCTTCATTAGACAGAGCAGGGGAAACCAAATCCCACTGGAGGTGGGACACTCTTGTTCCTGGGGTTGGTTCTGTGCTCTTGATCCTGTCCCCTGGTCCCTTCCTTCAGCCATAAGAACAACCATAACAAATAACTAAGAGCCAGCTCTTCAGTTGGGATTCATTGCTGAATTGGCTCCATTAGGAAAAAGAACATCAATGTTTATTTATATGTGTTGTAGATGCAACACATAGATGATAATTACTTAAGGGATTAATGTGATTTAGTGAGGGTGGGGAGGCCCTGGCACAGGTTGCCCAGAGAGGCTGTGGCTGCCCCTGGATCCTTGGAGGTGTCCAAGGCCAGGTTGGATGGGGCTTGGAGCAACCTGGGCTGGTGGAAGGTGCAAGTGTACTTGAATCCGTGTTTCTACACACCTATTCATCCTCATGTCTGTGTCAATATATAGAAAAGGTGTCTAGAGAGGCCCAGCATCTGATTTTTGAGAAGCTTTATTTCCATGAGGAGCTACAGAGCACATTTTCCCTCAGCAGTGACTCATGGTTCTGACTCTCCTTTTTTTTTTTTTTTTTTTTTTTTTTTTTTTTTTTTTTTTTTTTTTTTTCTCTTACTCCTTAATCCAAGAAAGTCTGACTAAGTCAGCTCTGCCACGTCCCAAGTGTAGCAGGGATTCCTCACAGGCCTTGATGCAAACAGAACTAGTAATTCTCCTCAGAAATAGCAAGCCCTTGCTATTTGTGGGCTCCTGCTCTACGCAATGATGACCTTGGCTGAGGCAACCCAAATGGAAAGGGCCACTTCACATGGAGTCAACGCCACTGTGGTAAATAAAGGCAGCGCCAGGAAGGCCCAATTTCAACATGTCCTGGCAGATGAGGCAGAGCTGGGCAGGGGCACTGGGCTGTGTTTTCTTAGCAGCAGTCTGGGAACCTCATGGCACTATGTCATAGTGAGACAGGCCAGTTTTGTGTCTCAGCTGGTTGTTTTGATCGATTTTTTTTTTTTTCCCCCTGAACATGCAGACCCTTCTAGTGTTCTCCACAGGAAAGCTGGAGTGAAGCTGATGGGCTACAGAGATAGGCTGGCAGCAGAATAACAGGTTTTTGTCAATGGCCCAGGTTTTAATGTAACTTCAGAGGATTTGGGGTATTGACTGAAAAACAAATTGGAAAAAAAATATGGAGAGCCCCTATCAGCACTTCAACTTGGCATTAAGAAATGCTTGAGTGAGACTGGTGGTAGACCAGGATTTACCCTCACACATATCATTTTAGACAGCAAGAGTCAAATAAGGTGAATACTTACAGCCATAAAGCCCAATTACATGTGTTCGTGCTTCCCAATCTTATCT